AACAATTTCCATCTTCAGTCGTTCTATTTCCGTGACAAGTAAATCCCATCCCTTGTTGAGGAAAATGCCACTGATGGGACATGGACTTCCCGACGGAGCTGCCCATTCCCGTTGATTCGTTTCGTAGATCCAACGCAGGCGGTTCTTCTCTACAAACCACAAGCCAAGATCATCGAGGCAAAAAAGCCAAAGCTTTTGGAACACGCCAAGAATGATCGATGGCCCGTGAACGGGCGGGAAAAGCATGCATGGATGGTCGAAAAGAGAAGAGCCAAGCTTACACAGCCACTCTCTAGCCGTCTCGTGTCTGCGAACCACATGGGACGGACGGGATGTAGAGTTTGTATGGTATCATCGTTTCAGCCCAGACAATTGGATCTCATGATATCTACGCGTACTGGACGAGCAAAGAGGGATTCAGCGATCATCGTCTTCATCCCCCATGTCTTCTATTAAACGTGCAGTAGCCAGGAGAAATGTCATGTATCCAACCACAAGACAAGCCGCTGTCAGGATGTCGAGTGGCGCGTGAGTTTCCAGGCCTGGGCAAGTTCCCGTCGCCTCTGCAGTCAAAGACTCGAAATTTACAGGGGTCGAGGGGTACCATCTCGCTGTTCCCAGTAGAGGCTTCCAAGATTCGTCCACTGACGAGCCTGACTCCCGCGCAAATCCGAGAGGTCCGCTCGCTGTTGCGTCAGGGCTTCCAGGGATGATGGGTCCAAAAATGGCTGCCCTGGGCTTCCATGAGGCGGGGCGACCTGCGTTACGTTACGTAGTGCCGACTCTAGTCTTGGGTTGTCGCTCACTGCCAGCCAAGAACTGCTCTGCTGAGAACTATGACTATGACTGCCTGGGCTGCCCACAATCTGCCTTACTGTACCTAGATCAATCAAATCTTGAGCTTTCAACTTCTCCAAAACATCAAAGACCACTCATCTTAGCCCACGCGGCGTGATCAGCTTCATCCCCTCTGAACACCACCGCCCACCTGATCTCGATTAGCGACAAGAGCCAAGACCTTCTATAGCTCACCAACAGCTTTGCGCGACAGTGACACCTTTACAAACACCAAATCGCCCGTATCTCAACTTTCTTCACCCGATTGAAGCGCAAGCCGCAACAGAACTACGTCTTCTGCGCCCATGGACTCCGGCGGAGTCAGGAGAAAGGATACGACCAAAGGCCCGCCTCTTCGAGTTCTATCACTCGGTAAGCGCCCGCCAAGATGACGTCTGCTTTGTTTGATCTAATGCTAATACGCGCCAGATGGAGGAGGTGTCCGCGGTTACTCCATATTCATTATTATCCAGGAGCTTATGCACCGAACTTTTGTCGAGATCGAAGGCCGCGCTCCCAAGCGACACGAAATTCCTAAGCCATGCGATCATTTCGACCTAATCGTTGGTACTGGTACAGGCGGGCTGATCGCCTTGATGTTGGGCCGACTGCGTCTTGACCTCGAGACGTGTAAGGAGCTCTACGTTCGTATGACGCGCATGGTTTTCCAGACCGACAAGACTATTGCCGGTATTCCCTATAGATCGACTTTGTTCAAGGCCAGCAAGCTTGAGGAGGCTATCAAGGCAGCTGTCCAAGAACACACTGTGAAGGAGAGGGAAGGCAACGATGGCTCAGATTCTCCCCTCACCAATCCTCTCAACGCTGCGATGTACTCAAGCGCCGGTGCCCCTCGTCGAAACCAGAGCAATGCAAGCACCGTCAGCTTTAGCGCTCGCAGTCCCGCTTCACAAATGGCGTATCGACCTGCGTATAACTCAAGATACGGCGATCCTAACGCACGCCTATACGATCATCGGGAAAACCGCACCAAAACGTGAGTCATCAATTCCAATGACAGTTCACCTGTGACACCACTAACATATTTTGTAGCGCGGTTACAGCAGTATACAAGGGTTCTCCTCGAGGTTCACCCGCCGCTCTTTTGCGATCCTACGATTCTCGAAAAGAACCTCCTCCCGAATTCGACTGCAAGATTTGGCAGGCCGGGCGAGCCACTTGTGCGATCGGACTGGCCTTCAAGCCCATCACAATTGGTCAATCAGTTTTTCACGATGACGGCGTAGGCACTTTCAACCCTAGTCCGGAAGCCCTGGACGAAGCTGTGGTCAACGAGTGGCCCGGTCGCGAAGTGGGTGTCTTTGTTAGCGTCGGTACTGGCAGACGACCCAAGGGCAGCGATTCGAATTCGCAGATGTGGTACGAAGGCTTCTTGGGCGATTTTGCCGAGGCGCGTAGGAAGTTGATCTCCAAAATTGAGGGGTGCGAGAAGATTCACGAGTACATGATGCGCGAGCACCTTGGAAGGCGAAATGTCAGTATTGACGCCTACTACCGCCTTAATGTTGAGGTTGGTGTGGGTGAGTTTGGAATGAACGAGTGGAACCGACTGGGCGAAATCAGCACAGGTACTCGACGGTATATGTCAAGGGAGGCCGAGCAAAAGATGATTCAGGGCATCTCGTCAAAGCTTGCCAAAATCCACCGAGCCAGGATCCGTCATGCACGAGCTCCCGAAGGAATCCCAGAACTTGTCAAGTCAACCTCAACCACATGGGAGATGCCTATGGCATTCGAGCTTGCAGGAGATATTCCAACTACCGTTCCACTTCCTCACAGCCCCGCGAGCCGATCTTCGTTCGAGTCGGGGTCAGATAGTTTGCATATCCGCAACAACAACCACAACGGTTCGCCACGAAGCTCCAACGAACGAATGCACGCAGAAACGTCTGTACCGCACAACGTTCCAAACTCTCCTCCCCTGGGACCTCGTGGCCCTAGCGCCAGCGCTCCGGCTTTACATCCAGAGGATCGTTTGGCAGTGTCGTCACCAACACCGGCGCAGTACCGCGAAGGGGTTTCGGGTCAGGATTTGATCGCTATTGTGAGCCCGGACGAGTATCCTAGACCACCTCCCAACATGGCCGCTCCGCCACCGACACGGATTGAACCGCCGCCGCTGCCACCCAAGACGCCTCTCCCAGAGAGCCAGCAACATCATGGTCGAAGAGTGCCTGCGGCCGCGCCTCCTTACCCGTTAGACGATGACGAGCCCCCGCCCGTGAACATGGCCCTAAAGCCCGACTACCGGGGAAGATAAGCATATTTTGATGCCGCTTCCTCCTGATACAATCCTTGCAATTTGAGTTAGGCTATGAAAAATGACGTCTCGAGCTTGACTATGAACTCGAATCCACGAAAATTCATGAAATGAGACCTAGAACGATTATAAGACTGGCGTTGTGGGTGGAGGGATTGGTGATGATGTTTCTTGTTTCTTCTGCTTCTGCACGACTAGATACCACCTGGTTTTACTTGGATGCGAACCTTTGAATGTACTTGATGTTATGAAATTGATGGAAAGATGCTGGGTTATTAGCTATATATTCGTTAGTCAATGTGGCTGTACTTGTATAATGGAAAGTAGTTTTTTATTCGTAACGGCTGCCTATTCTCTTCGGAGATAAGAAAGATCAATATGACAAATAGGACCTCTTAGAATATTTTTGTCTCATTGTTCGATCAGCTGGTGCTCGGAGGGTTTGAGAGCTCTAAGATCGCGGGTAAGCAGATCTTCGATACGACGGCTCGCGGTAGCATCCGGCCCCCCACTGATTGTTCCCCTACCTAGGTCTAGGCCTCGATAGATCGTACGGGTAAGAAAGTCCTAAACAACCCCTGTTTGCCTGTGTCTACAACGAATATTCCTTCGAGGGATATCGTAGGATTCTTCTACGTTCTCATACGATGTAACGCACGGTTCCCTTTATTTCTTTTATCAGCAGCTGTGAACTGAGACAATGGACTGATCAAGTCTTACCACGAGGCAGCTGAAAGCTCGCCTTGGAGCTAAAATGAGGATCCATTCCCCCGTCCGTCGGTATTCGCGATTATGCTTGACCGCTTTGGGATAGCTTCACGATTTAACCTTCGATTCATGGTTGAGCTTGTCGTTTTTAATTGGAGAGTTTGTAGCAAACGTTTCTGGCTAGGGCGTATTGATCCCAAGTTCGAGACTCAGCACGATTGTTATCATCAAGAGGTGCATAACAACGACATCACCATTGCTGAGCCTAGATTCTCTCTCTTCCAGACAACTTCTTCTTTTTGTTCCATCACATCCGCTAGAAGGGAGGGAGAAAAAGCAAGCAAGCGTATTGTCACTGTGATCGGCACCCACGGAAAGACACGCGGGCCCTGGTTCGACATTTCTTTGTTCTCGTTTTACTTGGCATATTGTCAAACGCCTCTGAAGAATTGATAGTTTCTGTCATCTTCAACGACGGGAAAACAAGACTGGTCTTTTCTTCGGTTCTGTGCTGGGGGTGACATTGCATCGATATTGGATCCTCTTACACCTGCATATTCATTCCAAGGACGAGAAGAGGCGACAGGAAGAGACTCCCTGCATCCGCGGAACTTTGCGCCAGAGACACGCATACTGCGCTGCAACCAGACAATCCCTCCCTGGATCAGGCCTTGGAAGAAGGACACAGCCTACAGCCTACAGCCGCCCGTTGCCGCGTTTGGTCAACAGGCGAACGACGCTCGGCCTCGCGCTTCAATTCAGATCAGACATATTCCATCTGTTCTTCTCTTCCTGTCTCTATTCCTCTTGAGGAACAAACATGGCTCTCAATTGAACCCTACACCCTTGGGCTTTTCAGTCATTGAGCCCATCCAATCTGCAGCTTGCACACACAAACTGCATCTTTGCTTAGAACCAACAACCATCCGCAATCCTTGTTGACCCCTGGCCTGTCGTCGAACCAACAACCTCACTCAATGTCTCTGACCGGTTCTCATTTGGGAGTGCTGAGCCAATCAATCTCTAGAACGACGTCAAGGGGACACCAAGTATTACCGACATAGATCGCCTGTCATTCTCCATTTGATCATTTTTGGGGTATTGCAAAGAAGAAGAAAAAGGAAATCGCTAAATTGTTGGTGGAACGATGATGCCGGTACTTGGAGCCACGCCGATGCAAGTCGCACCTCGACAACGAGCTCCGCGACAAACGTCATCGTGCCTTGAATGCCGTCGTCGCAAGCAAAAGGTCAGTTTTATTCATTAGAGGTCGCTCAATTGAAGTGGTAAATCTCAGGCCTATTCAGCCTAATTGTTCGCCGCTGTCACGAGTGATCTACTCCCGGATAAAACCCGACTAACATGCTCATAGTGCTCTCAAAGTCAACCATGCACAAATTGCTTCCGTCGGTTTCCCTCACCTGAATGCATATATGAAGTCAAGTCTTCCAAAAGGTTAGTATATTTGACCTACCGTGGATGAACCCTCCATCATTGCCCTTCCAGAACCTCTCTTCTACGGCGACTAACATGCTCCAGACATCATCCAATAGCTTCACGTCCTAAACCACCTCTAGTGGTAGATGTACGAGAAGGGCCATATTCACATCTCAATCCTGCGTCTATCCAAGACGCTCTCTATTGTCTCGAGGATGAGGGATCACGATCGTCCTCGGCATCTAGTCCTAGCACATCCGTTACCACTTCAGCTACACAGCCACGAACTGATCTATGGTTGCCTTACAAGATTCTGTCATCAGCAAATGGTGACAACGATGACACCATAGCTCAGTCTGTCTGGACCATTACGAAACACAGCATCAGAGGAGCCAAACTTAATTATTCCGAGGAGCGGGTTACAGAGATCTTGGGATCTCAAGATCATGATGAGCGGCACGATATCCTTCGGCCAATTGATGGCTCTGCAGTACAGCTAGAGTACCTTCCCATGAAGCCTACCAAGTTAAACAAGGAGTTGGTACGCATTCGTAAGTTGCGTTTGTCGTTTCTGTCCACTTTGTCACTAAAGTGTGTTGTCTAGACTTGCAATTACTCTCACGCTTCAAATGCGCAGTGGACGGCAACCCAGATCCTGCGAATGAGTTCATGAACTTCTGGGTCCCCTGCACTTTGCAAGACCCCCTTCTTCTCCAAATCGTCTTATTTACATCGTCATGCTTCTTATCCGAAACTCGACATTGCCCCAAGGCTTTACAATACGCACATAAGCACCAGGTTTATCGGATGCTAAACTCTCAGCTCACGGATCAACAAGCGCAGACGAGCGATACTTTGGTCCTTGGTGTGGTCCAGATGATCGCAGACTCTTGGTACTGGGGCGCTACGCATGATCTAAAGACTCACCTTGGTGGTCTTAGAGGGATGATCAACCTGAGAGGTGGACTGTCTCAGCTCGGTTTGCGTGGTTATTTGGCCAAGATGGTCCTCATGTAAGTTGATACACAGCAGTCGCCAAGAGAAGGCGGCATCTGTGGTACCTCGATCTTCGTCGTACAAATAGCTGACGTGGTACAGTCACGACATCGTCATGGCGCTCGCACATGAGATCAAGCCGTCCATGTATGGACATCCCGGCTTCGAGTTCCGAGATTCTCGTACCATGCCCTTCAAAACGGCCTTCAACACCCCTTTTATTAGCAACTGGCAATCTTTCAGAGAATGCTCAAATTCTCTGCAACTGCACCCAAGCACAGCTCAAATACTTGACGACATGAGGAGCTTGTTCTCAGCCGCTCTAGCTTTACCAAGAAACCCAGCCTCCGAACACGTCCAAAGGGTTCTCACAACGGCTCAATGGTTTCACGAGAGAATACTAGATCTTCCGGAAGACACACCAGCACTTCGATCTCCAAGACCTTCTGATTCGTCTCGAGCGAGCTCAACTGAGAGTCCGGGCAATTCTCCAGGATCACTTAGAACTGACAAGTCTTCACCACCTATCGTACTTCCAGACATTATGTATCGCGTTATCCGCAAAGTGGCCTTGATCTACTGCAAAGCGATTCTTAACCGCTCTCCAATCAGTTCTGCTTGCTCGGAGGACGACATTGAAGCCATTTGGGGCTCAATTTGGCAGTCCGGCTTGGCAACTTGGAAATCAGTCCTCGGTATATTCGCATGGGTCATGATTGCCCTCGTGACAAATTGTCACAAAATTGGCCCTGGTCGTCTCATCAAGACCTTGACCATGTCTACCATGATGTCCATCGGAATGGAGAACTGGGACGTCTTTAATCATATAGCGAAAACATCCTTCAGATTACAAAGATGGCTAGCAGGAGGACGGGATTATACAAATGACCTTATGGGAGGAGAGAAAGTGGTGGACAAATATGGCTTTGGGATGACAGGCGCATTACCAGCTGTTGATATACCAGCTGATGTGGAATTATCAGAAGATATTTAGATATGTGCAGGCCTCGGCTTTGCAATGCACAAAGTTCCGGCTTCAGTCACATGCAGATACGAGCAAGGAATGGCCTCTAAACGCGGAGATCATGTCCGTTTATATGTTCAATGACGACATGTCTCAGCTGCATACAATTATGCGCTCCACTGCAGCTTTCTTGTGAGACCATGAAAACTGTCAAATACTCGCTTCTTCCTCGAAGGGGCATCGGTCATTGTCTCTGACGCCACTTCTTACTACTTGAAGGAGGCATTTTCCAAGTTACACAGACCGAATCTAGTTATTACGTGGTACAATGTGCGACTTTACTCAGCTTCGAGGCGATATACTGCATGGTGATGTTCTCTTGCCAGGAGATGACGGCTATGAGGACGTGTTGAAGAGGTGGAGTGCGGCTTGCGTGAAGAAGGCAGTATGTTGAGCACATCAAGGTCTTGGGCGATACTAACACAACACAGGCAGCCGTTGTCTTACCAGTTAACTCACAAGAGGTGTCCACGGCAGTCAAGTTTGCAGTTTCGAATCGAATAGCAATGACTGTATGCGGTGGTGGTCATTCATCCAGCGGTGCCTCTTCATCCGAAGGCATGGTCATTGACCTCAGAAAGATGCGCAAAGTTGAAGTTGACACAGAAGCCAGGACTGTCGAGTTTGAAGGGGGCTGTCTCTGGGAAGATGTCGATACTGCTCTTGAACGTCATGGCTTAGCGACCGTTGGAGGTGTCGTGAACCACACAGGGGTTGGAGGACTTACACTCGGTGGAGGACATGGTTTTCTAACACCGCGTCACGGCCTAACTATTGACAATTTGTTGAAGGCGGAAGTTGTTCTTGCAGATGGGACGATAGTTGAAGCGTCTGAGGACACGAATCAGGATCTGTTCTGGGCTATTCGAGGCGCTGGTGCACAGTTCGGAGTTGTCACTCGCTTCATTTCTGGAGCTCATCGACAAGACAGAGTCTGGAGTGGAACATTGGCGTACTCGGCTGATAGGCTACCTGACCTACTGCGCTTTGCGAATGTGTTATATGGAAGACCGAACCCAGAGGGGCATTGCTTCGCATTGGGCATTGGCTTTGGACCTGATGAGACGACTCGTGTCGTGTCTGCTATCCCTCTGTTCCACGGTTCAGAAGCAGCTGCCAAGCAATATTTCTCTGGTATCCTCGAGATGGAAGCGATAGCCAACAATACGGAGATGATGACAACGGCGAAGACGAACACGCTGCTCAACTCCGTCATGGACCACGGCATTCGACGACTCATGGGATCAGGCAACATCACAATGCCTCTTGAAATCGAACCAATGTTACAGACCACTGAAACATTCTGGCAATTCTGCGAAACCCATGATGGAATGGGCAAGTCTGTCTTAGCTATTGAGTTCTTCCCAACAGACAAGATTCGCGAAGTCCCCCAGGATGCAACAGCCTACGCCAATCGAGGAGACTACTATGATGCAATGACTTCTTTTGCATGGGAGAACCCAGATTACGATACAGATATACGACAGTTCAATAGGAGTCTCTGTAAGAGGATTCGAGAAACGAATGGGTATTCAGCTACGGCGGGTGGACACTGGAGCAAGGGGCCTGTAGGGGTGTATATCAACATTGAGGCTGATAGTATATCACCCAAGGATGCTTGGGGTGCAAATCTGCCTAGGTTGAGGGAGTTGAAGAGGAAGTATGATCCGAATAATGTGTTTAACAAGTGGCATGGTATCGCTGAGGATACAGCTGGGACAGTATAATGGGATTGCAGTAATGTTCCTTGAATTATTATGATAAATGAAATGAGACTCCTATTCTTCACAGTTTGATTGCGGATTGTTAATAAGACCTAGAACATGAACCGTATTGCGATTTCCCTGAAAACTAACTTCTGTCTCCATGGTTGTGTATGTGTCTGGCAAGCTTCTAATGGCAGTGTTTGTCCGATTTGTTCCTTGCTATCGACGGAGTAGCATGACACTTTTATCTTTTCGTATATGAATTGTAGCGCTGGTATTCTATATCGTTTAAGCCTGATATCATTCGACTTCAAAGGTATACATCAGGTTGGTGCTATCTAAAACATGTCAGTCCTCAAAACGCTTACCCTAGGCCTCCACCTGTAACTTGTAAGATGAACAATGCGTTTTCGTTCTCTGACCTCACAGCATACTCATACTGTGAGCAACAAATGGTCGAAGTGAATGTACTTTGATTCATGATCATTTCAATAGAGTTCAGTTTATTAATCGGAAAATATGCAAAGATTCCGAATTCCATCACAGTACAGGATAAGTTCCGAGACACGATACGATAATTACACCACCCATGGTGTTTATAAGACAAGGGATGATTGAGTTGACTAGAACGTGAGGCAATTGCCTTTCGCATCAGCTGTTTCAACTCTCGACGGACCACTAATTGTCAGCGGAATAGAAAGCTTCATTGGACCAAACGCCGTGCATCGGCCGGCAGGTTCACCGACGCCGAAAGTCTCACGCCTGAAGCGCACCAACCAATAACCAACATAAGCGAAGTGAAGCAAAATTGAAGGGATTATAATTGAGTTTCGGCTACGACTTGGAATTTCAAGAATCACTCAGTCACGTTCGTGATGATGAGGAGACTTTGCTTGGCGACGATCGAGAAACAGGAGACGGCATGCCAGTTCTGGTACCGTCAGCGTCAATGATGCCAGTGACGCTAGCGAGTACGTTCCTTGGCCCGAGTCCCGGAGATAGGAGGGTTTCAAGGTTTAGTTTAGTCAATGGCACTAATGAGTGACATATGGCGCGACAACGTACGGAAGATGCCGCGCAAGTTTACGATATGTCATATCTGTCTATGAGCTTGGCTTGGAACAAGAGACGCTCTAGGCGATGGAAAATGTCAAAGGCTGGGTTTTGTGGGGGTTCATGAGCAATGCAGAGGGATCTGCAGGGGATTTGGTGGAGGTTGAATGTAACGGTATCGCGATATTGAAATGTGTAAGCGGAATTCCTTGTCTTACAAGTGGTGTCATGGAGTTGAAGGTCAAGGGACTATTGATCAAGGTGTAGGGAGATGGGATGATGAGGCTCATCGTATACCGAGCCCTAGAAGGAAAAAGAAAAGTGATGAACAGGTACGAAGCAACATGCCACTTATAAAGTTGAAGTTAATGCACTGACTGCATCACGCACAGGTACTGCCTGTAGCTGTAGATGGCTGTAGTACAGCGGATACAGTAGCAAGTTACGGTTGTAGCCATTCAGGCTCCTCGGAGTGAGATCCGGGGCACAGAAGAGGCCAGCAGTTGCGATGCTTATGTATACCCGATCAGTACAAGCGCATCGCGGTAGTTGAGCAGTGTCGGTCCTCTTCTTTACCTTGTTCTTGTTTTATTGTGTTTCATGGCAGTTGGATACCTGCAACAGTCCTGTACTCCGTACAGAGTACTGAGAACGAGATTGCAGATGCATGCACACGCCCTACCACACCTGCACTGCTTTGGGCAGTTGTAGCAGCGTCAGATTTTCAGCTTCTCTCATGCATCTTCTCCCCTTCCATGCATGTTGGCTTGGCACGGTGAATTCGTCAATTCAACTAAACTCGGCAGAGAAGAGTCGGGGGCGGAGTTACATTACAGTACAGTACACCGAAAGTGTCCGACGCGACGGAATATTTATATTCGGTGACGTCAGGGTTTGTAGCGGCGGTGAGGGATGTGCTGTTACTGTGATGCATCTCTGGTGGTGAGTTTGGTTTGGCCTAGTGATGGTTTCAAGAAGCACAGGGCATTTCTAGGTACTAATAGACAGGGGAGATAGTAACCTCACTTGTATATCATAATGAACAAATACTAGAGAGTTAAAGAGATCCCAACAATACTATGTAAATTGTATACTGAATAGTCAACATGATTGACAAATCTCTACGTAGACAGAACAAGGTGGAATCAACAGTGGGGGTTCCATGATGGAGGGGAAACCCCGCCCTCGAAAACATCATCATTCTTGTTCTCTCTATTCTCTCAGAGAACTGCCGACATATGATTGCAACTCATTACCCCCAGAGATAACAAACAACAACCTCAAAATAGCCCTACAGTATCAACAATGGCTCCTATCGGCGTAGCATTGATCGGCGGAGGCCTTTTCGCTAAACAGGCACACATGGTGCGAAACCCCCAATACAACGACCCAATGACGTATGCAGAGTGCTGAACAGAGGCCCGACAGCCTGCTATCATGAAGGCAGATAACCTCGCTCTCAAGGCGATCTACTCCCGTTCTCTCAAGTCGGCCAAGGAGACGGCTGCTTTGAACACCCGCTCCGGCCAAGACCCGGACTTGTACTCGGCCGATTCGGGATCCGGCAAGTCCTTTGACGACCTTCTTGCTCGCGAAGACATTGAAGCTGTTATCATCGCGTTGCCCATTCCGAGCCAGCCCGAGCACATCAGAGCCGCTCTCGCTGCTGGCAAGCATGTCCTTGCCGAGAAGCCGCTTGCTCCCACCGTAGCTGATGGCAAGAAGTTGATCGAATACTACCGTGGACTAGGAGGTAAAGCTACCTTCTCGATTGCAGAGAACTTTCGCTACAAGCCATCGTTCGACTATGCCGCTGCAGAGGCCTCCAAGCTCGGAAAGCTGCAGCACTTCAGTGTACGCGTGTTCTTCTACATGGGCGAGGATTCTCAATGGTATGGCACCGCTTGGCGTGCAAAGCCTGAGTTTCAGGGTGGTTTCCTGCTCGACGGCGGAGTACACTTCTCTGCAGCGACTCGACAGCTTCTCACAGATCCAGCAGTCGATGTGACAGCCTTCACGACTCAGACACAACCTCACCTGCCACCAATCGACACCGTGAACGCAGTGATCCGACTTAAGAGCGGTGTAAGTGGCACGTACCAGCAGACATGCGGCTCCAAGATGAGCACCTCAGTATTCCAATTCGGCTACGAGAAGGGCTCCGTGGTGGTCGATGGAGATAAGGTGACCGTTACGCCGTGGGATGGTGAGCCTAATGTCAAAGAGTTTGAGAGGACGAGCGGTGTGACGGAGGAGGTTGAGGCGTGGGCGAAGGCGTTGGTTGAGGCAAAGCCGGACAAAAGGCAGAGCGTCGAGGAGGCGTTGGCGGATCTCGAGTTTTTGGAGTTAATGTTTGAGAGTGGCCTTAATGGAGGGCAGGCTAAGAAGTATGAGTGTCAGTTGTGAAGTTGAGATTTTGGTGTAAGCAATAGTTCGGTTGGTGTAAGTCATTGGGTAGTAATAGTGTGCCAGGAATATGAACAGGCATCAGATACAACAGGCATCAGTAATAAAAACGAAATATTAGCCGAACAATGTAACATAATTCGACTGGGTTTGCAAGCCAAGTCTGTATCTTTCTGAATTTGCAGGACTGAGCCTCTTGGCCTTTAGGATCCTGGTTTGCGATATAGATGAACAGCACCAAAACATTCATTCTTTATTATAGTGGCCCATGTAAGCTCAGCACCTATGCTTACCTATAGCCTTAAAGCTTAGCCTTTGCTTTAATTGCATTGTCATCAACGACCAGCTCCTGCAGCTTCTCACGAAGCGTTGAAGCCATACCATCCTTTAACGGTCGATTCGTCTTACGATCAACATACACCTGTATAAATTCCCCTACCGCCTTAACCTCCTCCTTTCCCTTCTCAAAGAGAGCAGTCTCATACGTGACGCTAGATTTACCTAGCTTGTTGACACGTAGGGCAAGCTCCGCGACGGCAGGGTACGCGATAGATGAGAAATAGTCAGTGTGGGTGTGCACACACATACCAAACTGTGGTGCTGTAGGAGGATGGAGACCACAATTCTCAATGAGGTATGCGTTGATGATAGAGTCGAATCTAAGAAGAATTGAAGGTTATTCGCTGGATCTTGAGATCTTGGAGAGATCGTCGCTTTTAGTCACTTACAAAAAGTTGTAAACGGAATTGTTCATGTGGTCATACATATCATTGTCGTTCCTATTAACAAGGGAGTCAGTCTATTGAAGCGATAAATCATATCCCTTTCACACGTGAGAAATGTCACTGCAACAGTAGACGCATTCCGCAATTCGCAGTGATAGGGTCAAGTAATGAAAGATGGTAATAATCCGGAGCAAAGGATACGGCTCTAGCCAACGCATTATTGAGGCGCAAACTCACCATCGCGTGCGGTAGTCAAGGAAGAAACGATAGTCTTCTCTCTTGCGGGTCTTTAGCTCCGCTGGTGAAGCCTTGTTACCCATTCCGCGGATCAAATCTCCGGGGTAAGATAAACGCCTGGGTGGTATCCGTAACGTTCTCGACCGTGGCTTTTGCTTATGCCCTTTTCACTTTAATGCAACCGAGGTCAATGAGTCCAGACTTTTGGTCAAAGGGGACTGAGACTGATGACTTGATCCTTCGAAAGCTGCGCGCGATGTAAAATATGGGGTAACTTTGTAGTCTGGACCGCTTATGTCTCCGATGGTGTTCGATGAGGAAACAGCCCCAGTGTTTGAGAATCGGGAGTCAAGGGCAAAACCTCACGACGAGGTTAAAATGATTTGAAATGGAATAAGATGAAATCTAAGAAACAATGAATTCCTGGGGTATTCACTTTTAGACGTGTTCCCGAGGTTCTGGGTTCTCCAATCTCAAAGGGGAAAAGCCGAGGTTCAACTCAACTCTTTGACGTGCTGCCCTGAACTTTGAATGTTTGTTCCCAGCCCCGGGAATTGATGAGGCATTCCCGTCTTCAAGAGCGGTTTGTCCGCGCGCGGGGCTGATTTAGTGGACGGTTGACCTAGATTCCGCAGTCGTAGCAGCTAAGCTCGGGCACTCAAATCCCCTAGAGCACCCGATGGACAGTGGACGACGGGGCGGCCTGGACTGGGCTGGATGCCTGCAGGCCAGTGCCCCCAAGCCCTGTTCGTCAGTGGACTAGACTGACCTTTTGGGCTTTTGGCGGGGGAATCTTGAAACCATCTGCCAACACGGGCAAATCACGGCTTTACCTTTGCTTTGCAGAGGGGCAGAAGGGTCGTCTCACCAAAAGGCTCAGACCGCCCGGGGATTAATTACCTAGAACAGGCGAGGGGTCCATTCCTGCCGCATGTCACCGCTCGTTTCTGCCGCTAACCCAACCCACAGAAAAAGATATCGTCAGAATTTCAAAGACAATGTTTGCCAAGGGAGTCTCGCTAATCCCCGGGCCCACGCATACAACACAGACATCAGTGATAATTTGTCACTACACATTCTTTCAACCCTTTGCTGAAAAACGCCCTTCCCTGCGCCTTTCTTTCACGCATACCGTTGCCTGCCGCACACAAGTTAAAAAAGCGCCGCATCTTCTCCTCGACGGCTGCTGAGGAATGAGGGCTGCTGCTCTTCGCCTCGGCCCGCACTCCTCCGCATTACACAGATCTAGGTCCCTGTCCAGGGCCACAGCCAGAACCTCCTCGTTACCCCCTCGCGAAAGACGCCCCTTTGCAATGGTCACGTCGTCACCAACGCTCGAGGATTCGCCCTCGGAAGAGAACATCTTTGCGAATTCTTTCCAGGATCTTGATATTCAGGATGACCAGGGTCTTACACCAAGCCCTGTCCCGAGCCAACCAAGCTCCGATCCACCACAAGCCGCCACCAACAACAATAAACAACAAAATCAAAGACGTCCAAAGCAAAAGAAGAAGCAAGATCCGCCAAAGGTCTCGGATTCGGATGAGCCCCTCATTACACCAGTTGGAGACCCTTGGCCCCGGCCATATCACTTTGAGGGAGATGGATTGCGTCGGGTAGTTCCATACCATTTCACTTACAACACACATTGCAAGGAAAGATGGCGAAACAGGCCCCTCCTTGATATCTATGAATCCGAATTCAGGGACCGACCGCTAGAGTACTATCGCCAGTCTATGATACGGGGAACTATCTTTGTTAACGGTCGGCGAGTTGGGCCCGATTATATTCTCCGGAATGGTGACCTCATTTCTCATACTCTGCACCGCCATGAACCTCCAGTAACAGAAGACCCTGTGCAGATCATCCACGAGGATGAAGATATGATCGTTATCAACAAGCCCGCGGGAGTTCCCGTGCACCCTGCAGGAAGGTACAACTTCAACTCGGTTGTTGAGATTATGAAATCCGACCGCGGTCCAGCATTTTTGCCATACCTCTGCAACCGCCTGGACCGTCTCACAAGTGGTATCATGTTCATCGCAAAGAACCCAACTGCCGCGGAGGCGTTGGGCATCAAGATCAAGGACCGCACAGTAAGAAAAGAATACATCGCTCGAGTGATGGGCGAGTTTCCCGATGGCGAGGTCGTTTGCGATCAACCCATTCTACAAATATCTCCCAAACTTGGCCTTAACAGGGTGCGCGCGAATGGCAAGACAGCCCGAACTGTGTTTAAGAAGTTGGCCTACTATCCCGCCGAGGGAGGGAACGACGTAAACGAGCGTCCTAAAACCCCCGAACAAATTCAGGACGAGAAACTTCGCCCTTGGGTAAACAAGAAGGGATACTCGATTGTTCGATGTCTCCCTGTTACGGGCCGTACTCATCAGTTGCGGGTTCACCTACAACATCTCGGCCATCCTATTCAAAATGATCCTATCTATGCTAACCGGCGTGTCTGGGGCGTCGATCTGGGACAAAACGACGCTGATGCGACTCAAAACACAGACGAAGACATCGTCAGCCGGCTGTCTCGGATGGGCAAAGACGAAGTGGCGGAAGCTGTAGCTTATTACGATGCCATGGTGGATAGATATGAAGAAAAGAGGGCCGAGAAGCTTACGGGCGAGCTCTGCAACATATGCGAGACACCTCTATACTCAGACCCTGGCGAACATGAGTTGTCGCTATGGCTCCACAGTCTTCGGTATGAAGATGCAGGTGGTGCCTGGTCCTATGTTAGCCCGTTGCCTCGATGGGCCCTTCCACCGGAGGGAATGAGCGGCCCAACATCGGTGGGTGGGATGGAGGAGTTGGTGGAGGCGGTTAAGGACGAGAACCCTGAGATATCATGATAATTGCCATTCCGTACAACAAGCACCAAGCAACCTCAGATACCTACACTACATACTCCGTACATATTACGACCATCGCGTGGACAACGCCACCAAATAGAACGAGATGGCAACTCGTAGATACACATGAGCAGCTGAACTATAGCACATCTCGGATGAGAGTTGCAACGCTGCCGAACCTATCAAACAAGACCAACTTGATCCCCGGCGCCAGGGTGAGGATCCTATACCCTGTGGATCTACTATTCGTGACCAGGGTCGGCCTATCCCCGTCAGTAATATAGGCAGACTATGACTATTTAGCTTGTGCATGAGGTTCCTAGCCCGTATACACTGGAGGCTGAGCCAAGATAGGGCTTGGCTTCGAAACCCTTGAACATTCTTTAAGATTACAAGCCTAGGGTTTGTGTTGTGATGCAAGGCATGCGACCGATATCTGTCTTACCTATCCGTATGCCGCTTGGGATACCCTTCACCCGGGAGCGCGGATTTACAACAGATAAACCCAAAGTTTAAGACAAGACAGTGGTCCACGGTGGCTAACAACGGACACTTACTAGAGGCTTCGTCGACGCCAGAGGCGCAACATGAAGCAACCAGTACGGAAGCCACTGACAGACTAACTCATCCCTCACCCTCGGAACGACCAGTTCTCTGGAGCAGAACCAGGAGGAATCAAGACGAATGGTTCTCGGAGGATTGGGTCAATCTAAGCGAAGTACCGTGAGTCTCCAACGGGGCAGTAATCAGCCAATATGGGGCCCTCAAATCTCAAGCTCTCAACGCATTCCACAGTGAACACAAGATCAGAACATACAAAGGGCCCTAGAAAGATGGACCCTGGAGTCGAGCGCGATGCCATTTCCAAGAGCTGTACCAACCGACAAAGACCGTGATGACCGCCTTGGCTACGAGACTTGGGGAATAGCTCGGGATAGGGTCGACGATGAGATGGGTCTAAGATTGCTCGACGCTCCGGGGCCGGAGCTCGGGAGTTTCACTGGTTAATAGACATCAATAGATGGAGAAACAGAACTCCGACTATCACTGATCATGCCCTGGTGGACGATACATGGGGTAAGGGTCATGGGGTTATTGTAGATCCTCACGGGGATCTTGGGTCGAGCGTTGATTACGTGCAATTATACGGATTGAAGCCTCACTAAACAACTGTTGGCGTCCGTATCCATCACGAGAATACAAGACAAGACAGGACAAGACAAGGCCCCTGACAGGGTTTTGATGAAGCTCATTCAATTGCCTTACCCACTGGACTGGCTAAAACGAAAAAGACCCAGTCAAGTCGAATCACATTGCCATCACATCTTGAGCTCCACGAAGCATGGGTTTAATCATCGTTGGCAAGGGGTCCATCCTCTAGCACAGCAACGGAATTGTGGCTGGCGAGATATGGATCACAGCACGCAAGCAAGCCATGATCGAAGCCTGCGCTGCGGGTGACCATTTGCGGCTGTTTCTCTTTTTTCCCTATTTTCTGGGGTAAAGAAGACAAGTTCATGATTGAGAATTGTTTGCTTTTTTCGTTACCCTTCCCCTCTCCACGGGTTCGGTTCTATTCACCCTTGCCAGCAGTAGTTACCAAGTTCCCGGGTCTTGGTACTTGGTCACAGTTGGTAATGGCAATCAACTCGCGCTGCTAAACTCTAGTCAAGGTTCATCCCGCTCAAACTGGGCGAGATGAACCTCACGATCAGAGTTTTTTTTTCATCTTGAATGCAACGCTGAGCAAGATCGAAAAGCAAGATTCGTGTTGGCGGCTGGAGAAAGTTGGCTCTAGTCGGGGGGAGGCCCTGCTGGGATGGGAGCAAGGAACCCTTTCAGAGAGACGTCATTGATGCAACGCGACGTTGGAGAGAGATACTGAAAACGGTCGTGAAAAATGGATTGCTGACAACTTCAGCTGAGGGACGCGCATCAAAATCAGCTCAGCTTTTCAACTGCCGAGACACGTTGGTTGTCATCATCAAGAATAGAATACAACAAGACTTGGTAAAGGTATTGTCATGTCGAGGGATCTTCGACACACCCGATACAGTACAAACAAACAAAATTCTCTCGAAGCTTACGTTGGGTGCATTCGCAAAGAATGACGCCATGTAGGCCTAATGTTGTCTGTCTGTCTAGTAGGTCCCGCGGCACCATGTCCATTTCCTCGGGGAACCTGGCAGAGAAGATTCTTTTTTCCCTTCCAAAGTCTCAAAGAG